GGGGTGTGTCTTCTCCTGTTTGAGCCAAGCCATTGCCAGGAGGAAGAAAATACTGCCAAATCCTAAAGGGAATAGGACCAGTGCCGGGGCGGAGGGTGATGGAGGGCTGGTGAGGAAGAGGAGGAGCAAGAGAGGAAGGAAAGGCTCCTTCAGGCCCAGTGGCTCCGGGAAGGTGGGTCTCAGCTTTCATTGATGGTGCTGCAGGTTTTCACCAAGAATGGCTTGAAATCACAATCCCTCCCCAAATACGCCAATCGCTGTGTGAAAGACCCAATTCACTTCTGCTGGCTGGAAAAAAAAAACCCACACAACTTTTTTTTTTGGTTGTGTCTTTTTTTGCCCCCCCAATTGCGAGAGAGGCAGGGTCTTGCCTCCCCCACCCCACGCTGTGGGTCTGCCCCATCACCTCTCTCTCCTGGGCTGCAACGGGGCAGAGGGCAGATCCTGTGTCTTGAGGCCAGAGCGCTGTGGATGCTGCCTGCGGGCCACTGCTGAGCTTCAGGATTTATTGCAAGGGACGTAAATGAGGCCAATGCTGGATTAAATGTCTTTGCAATGATGCCTGGTCATTGCAGGCACTTGGCTGCTGATGGGCTGGGCTGGTAAACACATGCAGGGCGATGCCTGCTGCCTGTCCTGTGGGGTTTTGGGGTGCCCCTTGTGCTGCTCCCCATCTCCAGGGTCCCCTCTGTCACCTGGGACAGCTGGATTTGTCACCAGGTCCCATCGAACCCTTGCCAGCCTGCAAACTGCTGCTGCTGAAGCTCAACACCTTTGCGGGCAGCAAGCAGGAGAGGGAAGGGGCTGAGCAGAGCAGAAATCATCTGGAGAAGGTGCCAACACCAGAGGCTGGTTGGGACTGGCTGCACCTCATTGTACAAGGAACCAGCGGGTGCCACCTCCCAAGGAAGTGAAGCCCAAGGGCTGGAGGTGGTGGGAAGAGGAGGCAGTGAGCATCAGGCTTGGCACCCCCGACCCAGCCCCACCAGCACCGGAGGGTCTCATCCTGCCAAGCCCCGGCTGGCTGAAGCGCAGCTTACACCAAGAAGGGCAAATCCAGCGTTTCATCCTCAACACAGCGTCCCTGCAAGGCTCAGGGTACGGGAGCCGCCCTGACCGTGGCTGCAAAGGAAGAACTCACACCTCTGCCCCACGGGCCCCAGTGAGCAGAGACCTCCGCTCCGGGGGTCCCATCCCATCCATCGGTGCTACCCCCCAGGGGGACTGTCCGACAGACAGGGGCTCCCCAAAGAGCCACGTGGTGCCTGGCTTGGGTCTTTCCCCACACACGAGCCAGGGGCTGAGCCAAAAAGCGACCGTTGCCACCAAGGGGAGAAAAACCCCACAGTCAGGACAAGTGAGACAAAGAAAGATGCTTCGTTGGGTTGCTTTTTTTCAATTAATTTTTTTTTTTTTATGAAAAAAGATCACACGGAGTTCTCCAACAAACAGAATGCCAAAAAAATTGTTTTAAACAAAACATAAACAAAACAAAACAAAAAAAAAAAGACAAAAACCTGGCTCTCCTTTCCTCTCGATTGTCTGAAATATCCTTGTGTTCCATAGAAGGCAGTGGGTTTTAAGTGCTTTCTATTTAACATTAGCATAAAATCTCTCTCGCGCGCTCTCTCTCTCGCTCTTTAAAATATGCTCACACAATTTGCTTCTAGAAGTACAGTACACTTTGAGCGTGGGGGGTGTGCCTGTTCCCAGATCATTTACAATCACAATCCAACAGGAAATAAAAAATAATATTCTAAACGTCAGACTGTGTTCATTTCTGTCGTTGTTTTTTTTCTTTTTTTTTATAATTTCATAATTTTTTTCACAGTTTTAAAAAGTATATATTTATATATATATATTTATATTTATATTTATAATTAAAAAGTTGAATCCATTTAAAGACTTATAATACAGGAGGGCTAAAGAGTCTTTTGGTACATTAAAACTGTACAGGCTAGAACCGTCACTATCCGCCGCGCCGAGGCGCCGGTGGCCTGGGGTGGAGATGGTACGAGCTCAGCACCATGTGGTTCGTTTAAAGGACGAGGGGTAACTTCGCAGGGGCGTCCCTCTCCCCTGAGCCCCGGCCTCCAGTCTCTGGTACGCAGCCGGTACCAGGGCGGATAGTTTCCAAACTGTCCTTGTCTTAAGCGTCTCCCCACCGGAGCCTGGGCTGTCACTCCCAGCCGAGCCAAGCCCTGCTCCGCGTCCTAGCAATCTGTAGTGCGAGTCGATAGTTGCAAAGATCAGTGCGTCTCTTGGAGTTTTGTTTTAAGTGCAAGGATGTTGCATCATTGCGTGGTTCTCCTCCCGTGTCCCCTCCGGCCGGGTGCAACCCTGGTGCGGTGGTGGTGATGCCACGGGTCTGGCGTGTGCCCAGTGAGAGCATGATGGTGGCTCAGCTCTGCAGAGGGAGGGAGGAGGCGATGGTGGCGGCTCTCCGGGAGCCGTTGGGAGGTTGGCCAGCTGGACGGAGCAAGCTGAACGGTCCCCTCCCTGAGCCCAAGGTGGCAGCGGGGCTCTGGCTGTGGAAATGCCACAGGCAGGCACGGCCAGGGCTTCACACTCTATCCCCATTCCCCTCAAATGAGGAGCGAGGGCTTCCCAGTAGCTCCACATCTCTGCTCAGGCAAGGCATGGGGGGGTAAAGCTGGGCAAGGGATGCCAAAATCCAATGGCCTGTGGTCTCCTCTGCTCCAAGCACTGAGCAGCAGCTTTTCCCAGTCATTTCCTGCTCCCCTTCACTGCATGCTCCAAGACGAGTTCTTTGTTCACCAAGTGTCAACCCCTGGCCATGCGCTTGCTCCCCCCAGCACCTTTCCAGGGCAGGAGGGATGCAGAGGGGTGGGGAAGGTGGGTTCAGACTGTTTGTTCGAGGCAGTGGGAAGGCAGCATCCCAGACTGCACGTTGGCTCGTCTTCCACCCAGCTCCTCCCAGCCCAGAGGACCTCTTCTGCCATCTCCGTGCTGAAGCCAGCTCTGCCTCTTCGTGCTCCACACTGCTGGCCAGGGGCCTCCAGGGAAAGGGAACCGCAAAAAGGCGCTGAGAGGATCGAGACGAGGCGCTGAGAGAGAGACTCATCTCCTTTCTCTTTCACCCTGTCCTTCCTAAAGGGTCATGCGAAACTAAACAGGAAAGGGAATATAAGGACGGAGAGGAGCATACGCAGAAGGCTAGTGGGTGTCCTTCCACGTACAGGCAGCTTCCGAGTTACTGATGGGGGCAAATGACACAAAAGGGATCCCTCCTGCTGGGGGGGGTCCCGCTGGTGAAATGATCACGAGACCCATGTGCTTTCCTGGACCAAAAGGAGGAAGGGAGAAGTTGGTCAAGTGTCACCTTACTTAAAGCCACTTCCAGAAGAGCCTTGGGGTTCAAAAGCACCACCACCACCCCCCCCCACCGGCATCTTCCTCAAGTCCTGTAACTGCTTCCCCAACCCCTTTCTTCAGCCCTCTCCTTCCTCCTCGTGTCTCTCGCGCTCTCCTGTCTGTAATGTGACACAGGAGTCATGAGCATTGAAAGAAACAATCATGTCGTCTGAACAGGCACGTCCTCAGGTTTGTCCCGTCCCTTCCCAGGGGGTGGCACGTGTCCCCTGGGCGGTCAGCAGATGACAGGGACCCCGTCGGTGTTGAAGATCATGCCCGTAGTGGGCTCGTAGGTCCCTGCAAGGTAGTAGAGGTCCTCACTGTCTTGGTATTTCTTCGTCTTTAGCATCTGCTCGTATTGATCCAGACCAACAACAAGACACTTGTGTGAGATGGTCTGGACATCATTTTCATCCACGTGAGAGGACTGGTAGAGGGCTCGCTGCATTACAGGAACGGAAGGAGGGAGATGGAAAGAAAAGGAGCAATTAGATCTCACAGCATTTACAGCATCGTCTTCAATATGCAGGAAAAACATCCATCACAACTAGCCAGGGCTCGTGCTCACACTCAAGCCCAACTCCCCACTCATCCCCACTGCCAGCCCAGGGGACGGACACTGGGAATCTGTACGGGCCCAGGGGCAGCGTGGACACAATCTGTCCAGCGCACTAAGCCCGAGCCCTCGCTCACACTCAGCTCCCACCGATGGGAACGCCGCGGCTGCCAAGCGCACGGACAGGGGAATACAGAGGCTGGGAGTTTGTCATCCTCACTTCAAGGATGCAAATGCAAAGACAGGTGCTGGATACCAGCCCTCTGTTCCTCCCAACACCCGGCACCTGCAGCTATTCCCACCCTCCCAGAAACACTCATCCCAAATCCTGGGCACTTTGGACTCAGCAGCTGAGGCAAAAAGCAAGAGCCAGAGAAGCTCGGGGGCAATTCCCCAGAAGCATTTGTTATGGCATCTCCAGCATCCCTTCCCAGCCCTCCCCCAACCTCACCAACCTCCATAAAGTCCTTCCTCTGGTTGGATGCCTGCAAAGCTGTGGACAGACTCCTGCCCGATTTCTGATCCCAGCGCTGAGCCCAAGAGGAAGAGAAAAGAGAAATGAAAAGCAGGTGAGGTAGTTGTTTTTCCATGCTATCACCTCCTGCCCACCACATGTGCCTTTACAACCTCAACCCCTGTCCACAGCCACTGGTAATAAATACTAAGAGCCTACTGTAAACCACACTACACACGTGTGCAAAATTCAGTGTTTCTGAGCACCAGGCCAGTCATTCTTACACTGTAAAAAGACCCCATCTGGCTCTTGACGCTATTTTTGGAGCGACACAAAAGTCTTTCTTTCCTAGTACGATAAAACCCACCCTTCCCCTGCTCAAGGGGTAAAAACCAGGCTTGTCCACACCACAGGCAGCCCCCACAACATGAAATGATGGGGCCTCCCCTATTACGGTACCAGTAACAAACTGGGCCATGGGTGTTTTCCTCATCCTTGGAAACAAAAGGGAACAAGCAGCGTTGCAGACCTCCCGGCAAAGGAGAGCAGCCTACCTTGCCTTCGTTGAGTTTCTTCCCAGGGTTGGTTTCTTCTGGGTGATAAAACCACTTGACTCGGACCACCATGTTGTTCCCCCACGACTCCCACATGCTCTGGATCCGGCCAATGTAGGGCAGGTTGGGGCGGCCAGCTGAGAGGAAGACCGCACAGTCTCCGATGCGGATTATCTCCTTGCCCCGGACAATGGCCTTATAGAAGAGCTTTCTGGCCTTTCCTTTCATTCCTCGTCTCTGCCAAGAGAGGATCACACAGGTGAGCAGCCAGGGATTGCCCAGGTTTCCCCCACCCACCACTGCTTGCCTTGTCCCACATCCCACCCTTCACTGTCAGCAGAGCCACAGTGTCCACAGGCATTCCCACGGGAAACAGGGCAGAGGGACACACCATGCAGGATGGCTCCCCCAGACACAGCGACAGCCAACCCCAATCTCCTTGCAAACCGGGGACCTTGGCCAGGGACACATCATGCCAGCAGAGTTTCACCACCCCAGGAGAAGAGAAAGGGCATGGGTAAGAGGCACCACAAGGCAAACGCCAGCACAGAGCACTATGGAGCGGCGGGAGAGGCTCTGTTTACCTGTGTGGGTTTCCCAAACCACTTCCACAGCTGCCGTGCAGGGAGGAAAGCGGCAATCTTGGGCCTGTTCTCCACCGACGGCAGTCGTTGGCGCTTGGCCAGCTCCTTGGTGGTGGGCAGGTGGATGCCCTCGCGCTTTTTGGGCCTGCTCTTGTTGCCGCTCTGCTGTGGTGCCGGCTGTTGCACCGGCTGCTGCGCCGGCTGTTTCTGGCTCTGGGGGTGGGAGGACGCGCGGGATTTCCCTGCCTGCTTGGTTTGCTTGGGTGGGAGGGTTTGCTGCACCGAGGAACTTGGCTGGGCCTCAGCTACTTCATCATCAGAGCTGCAGGAGGAGTCTTCATCTGTAGTGGAGGAGGAAGAAGAGCTGGAGCTAGATGAAGAAGAGGTCGATGAGGCTGAGGAAGAGGAGGAAGAGGAGGATGAAGAGGAGCTGCTGCTAGAGGAGGAAGAGGAGGAGGAGTTGGAGGAAGAGAGAGGGGTGGATGCTCTTGAGCTGGCCGAGCTGCTGTCCTGGGCTTCCCCTCGGTTCTTCTCAGCCTCCTCTTCTCCCTCTGACTCCGAGCTGCTGTCGCTGCTGTTGCTCTCAGACTCCTCCACTGCTGCTGGAGCTGCTGCCTTTTCTTCCTGGTCCTTTGAAGCAGTGAGGCTCTCTGCTGAGCCATCGAACTTTCCTCCGAAGCTGGCAGGGGAAGGGTCTCCCTCAGCTGCTTTGGTACGGGAAGATTTCTGCTTGCCCTCCGCACCCACTGCAGGGGAATAGCCCAGTCCCAAGAGACTCTTGCTGTCTCTGCGACTGGCCAGGTTCGAGTCCTCCAGCATCCTCATCGCCTCCTTCATCTTCTTTGTCTTTGGAGACATCACGCCCTCATGGTCCAGCTTGATCAGGATTTCGTTGTCATGCTTCCTCTGAGCCTTGACCATGGTGCCAAACTCGGGTGTCTCTTCTGTGGGCCGCCCTTTCTTGGCCTTGGCTTTCGATGCTGAAGCATCGCTGGAGCCGAAGGCCGCCAGCGTCCCTGGGAGGTCGCTGTAGGGCTCCGTGCCAAGGATGCTGCCAAACATAGCAGGCTGGTAAGTGGGTTGTGGGGGGCTATGCAGCTTAGTGGAGATCTTCATTTTGCTGGCTTTTGACCGCTTTTCCTCTGTGGGGGCAGGAGAGCCTCCAGTCGGCAGTGGTTGTGATTTTCGTGACCCCTTCATGCTTGGCTTGCCCAAGCAGGTTGGCTTCTCTGGGACTGAAGAGGTAACAGGTGAAGACTCAACCTGATCCTTCTCTTCTGGCAAGGCAGCCTCTTCTACAGAGAGGAAGAAACACAAAGGCATGATGGTATCCATCCATATGGACACTATTAGCTCAGACACAACCAGACACCCATGCTGACTGGTCTCTGGCCAAGGGTGGCTTGTTCCTGACTGCTTAGGTATCCCCAAAGAGGCACAGGTCCTCACTGCCCACTGAATAGCCTTCCTAAGCTGCCTGGCCTGATGTCAGTGCCTGTGAGCAGCTGATGGGCAATGCCCAGTGATGCTACTTCAACCGAAGGGGAACCAAACTGCAGATCTCCTGCATTTTTGGCCCTACTGATGGCTGCTGAGATGCTCAGCTGAAAAAAGGACTTTGCTCTGCAGTGCTGACTGACAGAAGGAGGCTCTCGCAGTGCAGGCCAGCTTCTGAGCCAGCCTCCTGCAAACTGTAGCCACAGCAGAGCGAGGTGATGCATGGATGCCCTGCACTCAATCAGTGCATCCATTCCCCTCCAAATCTTGCTCCAAGCAACAGCTCTAATTTGGGGAGAGTGGTGGGAAACTGTGCAAGGACGCTCTCCACTCCAAATCTGGCAGTGGTGACAACCTACCAGCTTTTGCCTTGATGCTTGGCTTTCTCCCTCGCCCTTTGCCCTTTGACACAGGCTCCTCTGACCCCAGTGTAGCTCCTTCTTTTCCTTCTCCAGTGTCTTTGCTGGATTTACGGCTACGGCGCTTGGTGCTGGGCACCAAAAGGGCCGGGGAAGGCTCAGCACCTGGAACAGGTCAAAGAGACGGTCAAATGCAGTCAAATGACACAAAACAGAGATGCCATACAGGGAACGTATCCCTACCACTTCTGCAATAGGGACTGGGCCTTTTTCCCTATGGGTTATATCCCACCCTAGCTCTGCATGTCCATAATTGATGGTGCAATCTTTGTGATTTAAAGTCTGTGAACTCGTCCCAAAGTATCAGAGGCAGGTGGCCCCAAACTCCCTACGTTTCATAGTGGGAAGTATCATGCAAAAAACTGAACAGCAAGACTCACACTGGATCTTGTAGTCAGGTGGGAGAAGACGAATGTGAGACAGTGGGATACGTCCCGTGTCCCCATCATCAAACTCTACTGTGATGAGATCACCATCTTCCTCCAGATCCAGGGCTCCTGTGGGTTGGGGGAGCAGAAGATGGGATTAGGGACATACATCAGAGTACGAACCCCTTGTCAGGGAAGTGGGGACGTGGGGGAAGACAGGGATCTTGCACCAGCTCCAAAGCATCCCATCCCCACCTTTAGTAGGCTGTGCAGGGAGAGCACAGAAGGCTCGCTCTGCAACAGAAAGTACCTGATAATACTAAACCAGCCCACCCAGTGTAAAAGTTCCCAGTCAGCAGCACTGCTCCAGAACGTAACAATGATTCCAGTCTGACTTCCCACCTCCTTCCCCTATTTCCCTCTATTCTTGTGGAAATTCACTTTTCTGTCTTCACTGCAGTACCTTTTTTTTTTACCTGCATTTTGTAACTACTCTCAGCAATCACAAGCTGCTGCTTTTCACTTTCTCTCCAAGAGAAATAAGCTGTCTTCCCATCCTCTCTTCTTGCATCAGCATCACTGGTCTATAACCCATAAATAATTCTTCCCTTATACACACATAGTGCGACCAAGAGCCCAAAAGCAAGACCAGCCACGGTAGAATTGTCCAGGGCTCTTCACTGGCTTTTTAATGGGACCAGGTGGGGGAGCTGATGTGTCAGAGGCAAAGCTCTGAGCGTGCAGGCGATTTCGAAACGTCTACAACCTCAGATATCTTTGGTGCCTGGAGTTAATTCTGACTTTTTGAAGTGTGTTGAATTTCCCTGGTATTTTTAGCTCCCAAATTGCTCAGACCTCTTCCTACAAGAGCACATCTCCTGAGCCAACACGATGTTACTAAACCAGCATCATGACTGAATTGGGCATGACCTGGAGGACAGGAACAGGCCAGGTTCTGACCTCTAGGACACTCACAGCAGCCCCCAAGGCTTCCCCAGGCAAGCCTGACATCCCTCAGGACACATAGGACTGAGACATCCCTGTTTCACAGTGCAGAGCAGCCAGGGTGGCTTTACCTCGGACAACTGTCCCTGGGTAGAGGCAGCGGTACTGCTGGCTCCAGTAGGCTGCAATCCTTGTGCCCTCGGGCAGGAATCGCACTGAAGGCGGTTTCACGTCAATGATCTGCTCGGGGCAAGAGGAAGGCAATTACTGACGTTCTTGGCACCAGCACAGACCATCCCACCACACTTGGTGTGTAGCAAAGCAGCTCTGGAGAAGTCAAAGGACAGTCTCTGGGCTGGGAAATGGCCTCCTGTCTGCTCAGAGGGCAGCATGAAGGACTATCCCTGCTGGCATACAGGCCTAGTGGCCACTACCAGTGGGGGAGCTCAGCCACGGGACAGCGACCCACAGCAAGAGGAGCTCTGCCCTGACGGGCCACAGAGGCAGGACCAGGGCATCCCTGCAGACCCAACTGGGGGAGCAGGAGGCTGCCAGCTAGCCTCCTCCACCCCAAAACAGGGCTCAGGCACCAAGGACAGGCACCCTTTGGCCTCACATACCGCTTCCTGCAAGAGCTGCTCCAGGCAGTAAATGTGGGGACGGTTTCCCCTTTCACCTTCCACCACCACACGGTATCTGAAACACAAAGGCCTAGTCAGACACGGCACATGAAAAACATCACCCCGATCAGGTAACACCTCCCTCTGAGCCCTACCACCAGTTTATTTGAGAGCATTTAATGAGAGGTAATTGGATTTTCCTCAGTGCTGATAAACCAGAGCGAACTCTCCTTCCGTCCCTGCCAGACTCTGTCAGTCTCTCTCCAGCCAGCTCTACACAACCCCCAAATCGATCCCTGCATCAGCTACATCCCTGTTCACCAGCAGAACCCGGGTGGACACAGTAGCTCCTCAACTCACATGTCTGGTGAATGCACCGTCTTGACATGTCCGGCATAGAGCAGCTTGTCATCCATGGGGATGAGGACACGCAGACCATCTTTCAGCTCATCCTTGTCAATTATGCAGGAGCGGGGAGCTGTGAGGTGTGGGAGAAAGAGGAGGATTAGAGAACACCATACATGAAAAAGCGACAGCAAGGGGAGAAGGAAACTTCATACTCGCAGCATCACCCCCACCTAGGAAAAGGCCAATAAGCCCTTTGCAGAAAGGGCTCTCTCTCTCTCTCTCTGGCTAGCTCCTGGCAGAGGAAAATTTTGCCCTCTTGGTAATAATAAAAAGTGCCCCCCCTCGGTAATAATAATATACCAGTAAATGAAAATAGGGCAGCTCAGCGACCGGGCTTCATCTAGGTGTCACAATGGGTCATTCTGATAAGGCTTGTTTTTGGCAAGCCAAATTGACTGGAAAAGTGATATCTCCACTCCAAAGACTCATGGCTTTGGATGAGAAACATGTGAAAGCAGCACAGTCCTCCTCTGAGCAGCCCTGGGAAACTTGCCCAGCTCCTCTACCTGTAGAATTAGCCCCCCGGCCCCTCCTGCGTTTACCTGGTGTGGGCGGTCGCTCGACCAGCATGCTCAGTGGGATGTTCTCATCCTCTGAGAAGCTGCTGTCTTGGTTGGGTTCAAAATCCTCCTCTGCTGCCATGCTCTCCATGAGCTTGCTGACAGCTCCTCCTTTCCCTCGGTTCTGCAGGAGAACAAGCAGCACATCAGCTGGATGACAACAGGCAACAGTCTGATCCCATCTCACCTTCCTCCAGCAACAAATAACCTGAGGATATTGGGACAAACTTGTCTCCATCCTCAGCAATATTAATCACACAGAGAGTTAAATGGGTGTAGCCAAACTTGCTTTTTGGTTGAACAAAGACCTTTGTTTTTCTGAGTTTATCCCCAAGCAACGTTGACAGCTGACCAAAAGCTATTTCACACATCCTAGCCACATCTCACTCCTGGAGATTAGGAGACATGCTGTGGAGCAGAGAGCTGTAGCTTTGCTCTGCATTCACCATCTCTCTGCACAGCGCTCCTGAGACCCTGTCTTCACTAAACAGGCAGCAGGCACTGTTCCTATTTCTTCTCAAAGCCCCACGATCCATTTCTTGCTGTTACACATAGACCATAAGCATTAGACTCAGAAATCATGTGAGAAGATGCAGTAATGTGTGTTATGAGAGAAGACTGGCTACAGCAATGGAGCAGAAACCAGTTGTGACCTGGCTCACCCAGTGCTGAGCAAGGAAACTCCATCACCATCTCTTTGGTCCTTGCTGTCCATGAAGGGTCTCCCTCTACCCCGTGGCAGCCTTAGAGAAAATCCTGCCTGCTCATTCATTTGGGGGATGAAGGCAAATGAACACCAGATGGTAGCAGCAGGTACTACCTGATAGTCTTCCCTGGATTTTAGGCTTCTCAAACCAGCACTTTGCCTGTAACACATCCAGCAAAACCTGCATGTCTGTTTTCCCTCCCTCACACTGCAACAGTCCAGGAAAAAAGCAGGGCTCTGCCAGCTGCCCTCCAGTTCACCCAGACTAGAACCAGCCCCTCACCTCTTTTTTCACCTCCTTGGCTTTCACCTTGGCTTTGCTCTTCTTGGTGGAGCCCAGGGCATTTGCCAGACTGACACGAACATCAGATGGGGAGCTAGGGATGCCAGGAGGAGACATGGACGAGGAGGAGGAGCAGCAGGGTGTTTCTTTACCCTTCTTCCGCTGCTAAAAATAAAAAGAAAACACTCCCATCAGCAAAGAGAGGATTGGTAAAGATCTGGGCCCAGGAAGAGCG